TCACTGTCGCTCTGAGCTTTATGGAGGAAAGAAAGAGTCTGAATGGAATTGATGTACTTGACCAACACATCTAAGAGCACACCACTGCTCTGACATCCTTCCAAACATGATCACTGTTCGGAATTCTTTAATCTTGGAGCATGCCGGGAACAAACACTGGAACCCCGTTTCTCTCTCTCTCTCTCTTCCTCTATCTCTCTCTCTCTCTACTTCTCTCTCCCTTTTCTCTATGTCTCTGTTGAATCTAGCGTCGACACAAGATCGTCCTGCGATGATGATGATCGGCAGCAGCGTCATCCCAAACCAACATCGGCCTAAAATAGATCTGCTTTTGGATTTACACCAGTGGCCTCGAAAAGTTTTGCCCATGAACGACGACGGCCTCCTGCCTCCTTGGCTTTGCATTTTCCACCAGCGAAGGCACAGTGACTGTCCTGTTCTGTTCTGTGAACAAACCTTATCATATTGTAGTCCACACATGACGGAGCTCTCTCTGGACCATGATGCCCTTACTCTTAAACAACCTACTGATGCATGTAGCTCCAAATCCCGGATCAGGTTTTGCACATTCTGCAAAGCGCTTCACTGGCTCACTCTATAGAGTCTTTCTCTCTCTCAATCAGCATGCACGAGACAGGAGCAAATAAGGAATGAAATCGGCCTGGCTCGGAATCCTGACCGCTGGCTGGCTGCTGCTGCTGCTGCTGGTCCTAGAGTTTGTGAAGTGAAAATCTTTGGGAACTGATGGAACGAACCCCGACCCTGGGCACAGGTTATAGCGTCTCCCTGACTGGAAACACTTGGCATAGCTTTTGGGGCATGACTCTGGTGCAAACTTGGCAAGACGTCACTTTGGCGTAAATTAAAGACGGCAAACAGTGCAGGATTTCATAGCGAGTAGTAGCAGTGGCAGACATTACATAGACCGGCTGTCATTCCATACAAAGAGGAGCACCGGGCCCGGGCCCTGCTTTAAGAATAAAAACACTCCTCTTGGCGGTGTGACACGCCCCCCGCCCTGCATGCATTCAGGTTGCTTCTTTTAAAATGCACCAGAAGTGCTTTGGGATGGAAAGCACAACTATGGGATGGTACACATACACATCCATCACAAAGAGATGCTTCCAGATGGTTTGGAAAAGCACTCCGTCCGTCCCCTATGTGTCAAGATCCCGATCTCAAAGTGGAAAATTCTTACTTGACTCTCGGTTGACTTGCGTCAGCTCGCAGAACATCTAAGGTCGGTGACCTTGACCATGAACAGAACACACTTCAGGAGATGTTAAGCGGAGCATCTAATACGACGGTCGGTAAGCTCAAACATGGAAGGGAATTAGCTCGGAACCGATTTGACCAGCCAGACCTGGAAACGTTGATTCTCTGAGCTCGAACATGAACAGAGCTTGGAGAATTTCCAAGACTTTCTCTTTTAGCAGAACCAACATTCTTACCTGGTTTGCTCTGGAGCATCCACAACAGTGAACCGAGGAAGAGTACGCAGGAAAGATCCATCGACAGTACACGGAGGAGGATGAGGAGGGGGAGGACGAGAAGAAGAAGAGTATGGACGAAGATAAAGATCCAGATAAACAGTATATGAAGAGTCTCCGGGCAGGCAGGCTGGGTGGCTGTTCAGATGTGGGCGCAAAAAGCAGTCATAGCTGGCTTGTTACTACCGAGGGTCCAACAACAGTAAAGCAAATGCTTGCACCTCATGCATCTGTAGACCACACATCCACACCTGGTTTACTATGGCGGATCCAACAACAGTGCGAACAGAGGAGTATGTAGCACGTATGCTGTCGAACAGTATACGAAGAGCGTTCGCAGGTTGCTCGTTTCCGCAGAAAGCAAATGTACCTGGTCCTCTGGGGAGAAGGATCCGAGAGTACTGAAGGGAAGGCTATTCAGGAAAGGGATCCTTCATCTATCTGATGCTGCTGCTGCTGCTGTTGCAACAGCAGCAGCAGTGGTAGAAGCATTCAAAGAGTTTGCAGGTAATATCCGTGATTCTTCATTCTCGATTGCTTGTCTGATCTTGCTTAAATGGTGAACAGTGGGGGCAAATACCTCGAAATCTTGTGTCTGAAAGTAGTTGGCTGAGTGGGCGGCCGGTTACGTGTAATTCAGCTGCATCCTCTGTCAAACGTTTCGGTCAGGATTCGAAGCACATTGATACCCCGAAGAGCTTTGAATATTGCCCAGGCATAGTCGCCACATAATAATAGAGAGCAATTATTCGTATATGTCTCGTAACAGAGCAAGTTAGATTCTTCTCTGCAGCAAAGCGCAGTGGATCCACTGTGCATGTGTTCGTGTTTTCTTCGGATGTTATTGGAGAATGATTTGACTGCGCTCGAAGTCTTTCGAGCGTCTTAAAATCCGAGGACCACAAAGAGTCGCCAAAGATTCCCTTTCGATACCCTTTGCCTACAAGCACATCACCCATCGTGGTACAGTAGTGGTGAAAGGACTCTGCTCAAAAACAGCAGGCATAAATTCCAGCCTTGTGAACTAATTTCGCACTTAATACCTGTCCTGCCAACAACTATGCATCGCATACACAAGCCTCTTCTGCTTCTTACGCCCCCTTCTCGTGGAAGATCAAAAGCAAACACAGCTCAAGTACTTAAGTCGAGTACCGACTTCTGAAGTCCCAGAGGTAGCACAGCGTTGGGGGTAATATGCTGCTTCGTGAGGCTGAACTCATGAGCAGTGGAGAATAGTTTGCACTACAGTGGCTGCATTCAAGTCTGCACTCGTCTCTCTCTCTCCTTCTCTCTCTCTCTCTCTCAAATGAGTTATTTGCACGACCGTACTCCATTCCGAGAAAGTGACCACAATTCCTAATAAATTGGGCCTGCCTGACTGACTGAGCTGCAGTAATCTCCATCAGCAGCGCTTTGGAACTGGGTTGGGGTGGGGATGGGGGATGGAACGGGAGAAGAACAGAGTCGGGTGCAGGTGCAGGTTGAAGATGCTTTTGGTTGAGTCTTACACGATACGAGAAGCTGCTGCATAGTGGTGTATGTCTCCTGATGCCTTCAAAAGGAGTCTTGCTTCTGACGTGAAAACGCTGCATTCTCATGGCTTTGTCTCTCAACAACTACTGTGTGTGATGGCGAGCCTTTATTGGTTTTATGGGCGACATCGTTTCGGTCAAGCTTCACTGACGTGAGCCCCCATAAACGAACTACTTCATTCAAGCTCCGTGTACTGTTCGGAACCGTTGAGGTCATCTTCTCGTCTTTTTCTCGTCCAGCCTGCTTTCACGTGCAATGGATCCCCTTCACTCTGACACCTTGATCTGGACTTCAGGCCATTGCTACCACTGCCTCTGCTGCTGCTCCTCCTGCTCCTGCTGCAGCATATGTAAATAGAGGACACGATGCTGCAAGTTAAAGAACGCCTTTGAGAGCAAACTCTGCCGATGCCTTGGACCGACCGATTCCTTTTCCTCTTGAATGGGCAGCCAGCACAAACTAGTCGAATTAATCGAGTCACGTACATAGAGCGAGCGAGGGCAGGACCTCTGGCATCTTTCTATTGATCGTGGATGGACGCCCACCCTCGCTCACTGTTTTCATGGCCTCCAAAACCTTTTCTGCTTGTGCAGCAAAGACAGTGTGCGTACCAACACTTCCTTGCAGCACGAACCAGAAGCAAGGACGAAGGCAGAATGGAATAGAAGGCTCTACATTGCGCCAACGAGAATGGAATCTTGGACTTTTTCCCCCATCCGATCTCAGAGAGTCAACAATGCTGACGGTTCTTGCGAATTATGGTCGAGCCTTAGTATATTCCCATCCTCACCTCGTTTCCTCGACTTCAATGGTCAGCTTGCGTTCCGAGCTGGAGTTTGTTTGATTCTGATCTGGAGAGCTGTCACTTGAGAACATGTGACTTTCTTACGTGATGTCGAGCTTAATGACCGCGCGTGTGAACAGCCTTGTTGCCAGGTCTCTGGACTGCTGTACACCCGATAACCCCACATACGTTTGCAGTTTCCCTTGCATTCTTCGATTGCCACTCGGTCCGCCCAGCTCACCGAAGGATTTCACTTACCTCCTTGATCCCCCCACCCACTGCGTTGTCGTCTGCACTTTGGGTGACGCATCTTAAAGTTCACTCTCACGCTAAGAGGCACGTCGAGGGACTGAGCCCAGTCCACGTTTCAACCGTCGACATGGACAGTTCTCTCAGAATTCTTTGACCGTAATACCGGAATCTGATCAGTTTTGATTCGGAAGATCCTCGATTCCTGGCAAATTTTACTGGAATTCCGCCGCCTGTAGAGAGCTTCGATGTGCGAGACGCCGGTGTTCTTTCCAGTTGAGGTTTCGAGCAGCGTCCAAGGCCACGCTGGTAGCTCGGGTAATAAACCGAGCTGCGAGATATGACGATTCTCGACACTCAAACGACAGCCGTTCCAGAATGCTGTGTCTTGAGAGCTTTATTAAAATCGGCATCACAACTTTACATCCACGCCAGCTTCAAACAGCAGTAGTTTCGGACCTCCAAAACCCTTCGCACCTACGTCCTCATACTTGATTTGCACATACATGACGCTTCAGGTTTTGAAAGAATTGGATAAAGGTCCTGTTTGTTCTTTAGTGAAGTAAGCATTGAATGGGGATCCAGGTATATTGGGAAGAAGCACACGAGAAGTCGAGGTGCGCGATCTATGCTACACGACAAGACCCCATTCCTTGGTGCTAGTGGTGATACATCCTTCACCCACGAGAGGGTGAAGGCATTCGACGGTTTCGGACCGAAAGCGTCGTTATACCAGGAAAAGGTCTATCACAGGTTTGACGTTGTTAGGCACCAGACATGGTCTACGCGCACGTATGTACACATGCTATTGCCAGACAACTGAAGAATCTCCAAACTTACAACCAGATAGATTTTGTAGTACATAACCAGAATATTCGAGGACCGCAGGTGGGAACCATATAATCATAAAGCCGTGCTTCGAATTTAGTGCTTTTGTGTTTTTCCCAAGCACCACACTATTGTACCAAGACGACTGATGAAGCCATATGCGAAAGAGTGAAGTTATTACCCTGGATCCGCACAGGCCACGATGTTTAATGACTTTTCGAGAGTTGATGAAAAAAAATTTGTAATTAGTTAGCATCCTCAGAGCCGGACCCGAAGAAAAAAATAAAATTCTGGCAGACTCGGTTACTCAATTTTGTCAGCACCTTCAAGAAATAAAACCTGTTCACTCCTATAATAGATACAACTGGATGAAATAAACCCAAAGTCCACTTCAGCTACGAACATCGAATCGCTGGCTCGGGTGGCTATCACTTTTTCAAGCCAGATGGCATTGAATCTTCCTAACCGATTGACATTCAAGCCTCCATGTGGGGGCTTAAGCTTCCAGTGCCAAACATGATCCAGACAGCGATCTGAAGGACAGAGTCGATTGTGCACAAGAAACGAAGGAATCCCGGGCTTCTCTGTGCTTCAATGCAAGGAATATGTCACCTGATGTGTTCGATACTTGTTAAGCATTATGGCGGCAAAATCCTTCCCCCCGATCAACTCTCGACATTCCGAGACCGAGGACTAACATCTTGGAAAAGGGTGCTTCTCGTACACATATACTCAAAACCGTTTTGCATCTGTAGGCTCCAGAGTGTCAAAATGATGGAGACACACATACAACAACGCTTCAATAAATTTCCTGAAGGTGTCACCCTGTCAGATGACTTGATTTGAGTCCACCTTTCCTGCAGATAAAGATGAGTGTCTAGTGAGCACGTAACCTCCAGTGATAGGAAGAACTGGACTCAATCTCAGCTTTAAGTTTTCAATCAAGGCCTGTCTTACAACTTCAAAGGTCATACCTTTGTTTCTCAAAACTCGGTAAACACCATAAACAAATGTTAGAAAGTCTCAGGCGCTTATGAAATTTCCCAGCCGTAATTTATCAGGTCACCTTCTTAAGGACAGCAGTCTTCACAAAGGTTCTCCCAGGTTGCCTCTTTTAGCAGAATATTAAAATTTTGTACAATTGTTCAATATTTGTGAAGTGACAACCTCCTAGATGAAGATAAATTTCTCTTAGTACGATAAATTTTGTACAACCGTTTGTCTAATATATTAGTAAGATATAAGACATCTATCACTAAATTTTCAACACTCTATGAGGAGTCATCGTATGACACAGCTGATACATCCTCAAATTCTCAAAACGTACCTCGTTCATGTCACAAAAGTAGATAGTCACTGTTGAAACGAAGCCGCATTTGCTGTGATTGGAGATGAAACTTCATGAAGTGTAGGAGAATACTTCATCTGCTTCCGCCTCAACCATGGCCTCACATGTACATAAGGGGAATCACCATCTACTCCAACCAGCTAAGTCATAAGAATTGACTATCATATGAGATACTTTGATATCTGCTTAAAATCTGATTATGAAGTCAGCAGCAGCCTAAGTTAAAGAAGAATATCAGAAAAAGCCATCTACACCACGCCCTGCCATTTTCTGTCGATAGAGACTCATGGCCTCCTCCATTGTAGCAGTATTTCGAAGCATTTCACCCCTTCTTTTTCCAGATGGATGAGTGGACAAATATTGTGCATACTCTGGAGCCTTTTCTATGCTCGCAAGTTTCTCATAGAAAGCTGGAGCAAGTCTGGGGTCATATCCCGCTGCAGCCATTAAGATAAGGCCAATGTGATCGGCCTCTATTTCCATTCTGCAAAAAAAGCGAGAACTTTATCAATCTATTGGGGTCTCGTTTATTAATTAGTGTTTACGGCTTACGAATAAAACAGTTGACACTGATTTCAATTATGAGGATAGGCATCAAGAAAGAAAATGGTACGCTACAAAACAAGTACAAGTCCCTTTTACCACAAAGATCAGTAATTGTTGAAATCATTCTCACTAAAGAGGTTTGTTTAATAAAGAGGTGAGTATAAGGATCCGCAGATCACATCGAGGATGAATATATCTGCCTCGACTCGACTGACTGAGACAGTTGATGTATGCACTATATTCTGATTCAAATCACTCTATTATTCGTTAAAATAGATCAGGCTAAGGACACATTGAGAATGGTCATCGAAGGGGAAAATATATTCAGAGATATTTGACTCTAGGAGGAATATGAAAGGAAGTGGAAATGAAATGCTCGGAAGGCTATCATTTAATAAGGCCAGTGATAGTATGTACGTAATTCAAAGTCTCCACGTGAAAGTCCAAAAACCTGCATAACTCAGAACACTGCAAAATGATGGCTTACACCTTGACTACGCACTGCAGTATCACCTCGCATCCTCGGTGAGTCTGGTTTAGTGTTTGAAGAGTATTAGAAAGTGATATTCGAAAGGGACAGAACACAAGAAGGTTGAAGAATTACAAACCTTCTTGAATTTGGCAGTCTGAGGAGAAGCTCGGACACGGAGTTTACAAGACTTGGTACGTAGAGGACGGACAGCACAGCTAATTGAAATGCGACAAGAAATATATTGTGAGTAAGAGATTCCGCTGAGTGTCGCGCAACAGCATGCCCCACCTGCAGAAAACATCCAGATGTTAACATATAAATAAAAGAAAGGTTAGAAATCTTACACGCGTTCAATAATCGAGACAAGTATGGATACAATGGTCCTGACATATAGATGACCCAATATGAGCAATAAGAAAGGCAAAAGCTTCTCGAAACACATACAAATAAGTCACCAAATGATTAAAAGCTCACACGGAAGAGACAGAAAAACCCAGACCTCATGTGCAAGAACTGTGGAAATCTCTGTATCGGAACGAAACTTTTTGAGAAGACCGGTAAAAACCACTATCTTTCCTCCGGGTAAACACACTGCGTTCACAAGATCATCATCAACTACGATCACCTGCCATTTCATGCCCTCTAGATGCTTCGTATAGCCTTCTTCACCTTTCTTTAAACCCTTTTTCCTGCTTTCGTCTACCCAACCTTCATCTACAGTCTCCTCATGTGTGTGTGCATGGTCTCCGTAAGTTCCCAACAGAGGCGCATCTCGTTTTTTTGTCTCCGTATCCCAGCCTGTTCCTGTTCCGAAAGATGAAAAGTCCTCTCCGACTTTGTCCAACTGACCCCAATCAGATGCTTTGGACCCTAACATAAGTGCCTCTATGATTTCACCAGATATTCGATGCACGCGCAAAGTTTCAGGGTGATTTGGTGGCAACACTCTGTTTTTGTACTCTTTAAGAAGCTGCAAAATGGAAAGAAAGCTCGTTATAGTTTCCAAACCCTCACTTAGAGCTCCTTACGTAGCTATTTTACTTCCATTCGATACTTTTGGCTAACAGCGTTTGATGCATGACGTTTCAAACTATGATTGCTTCTGATCTATAACATAGTCAGGGATGAGATATCAGCCACAAATTGTTTTCCAGGGGTTTTATTTAAAACACCTTACGACCTACACCCGCCAACAAGAAAAACCTTCGAGAGAACGTCATGAACCGTACTTAATACTAACCCCCAAAAAAAACACCAACGTCCAAAGAGAATGAAAGGCTTAGAATATTCAACGACTTGAAACAGCAGATGTTGAGCAGATCAAAACTGCGGTATACAAACGAGGGGCTCGATAATCAGCAACTTCTATAAGTGCAAATGAGTTCTGCATCTTTGTGAGTAAACTTGGACAATCAAATGCACAAGTCTAAATGTGATAGGCATAATAGCTTCTTTCTCTTGCTGGCGCTACTGCTACGAGATACTCAGTTCTTCAAATCTACGCTTAAGCTTCTAAAAGTGAACGAGGTTGCAGCGGGACAACAAGTATACTTCCACTGGATGTAAAATTATCTTTGAAACTATACCCCACAACAACAGACAAGTGTGCTCAGCAGTGTGCGAGTGACAGCAGTGTTTCTATTCAGGACAGTGTACCCACTCAAAGAGCTCATCCACACCCGAGACCTCAGACTTCATTAGAGATGTGTTATTCAGTAATAAAATTATCGAACTCAACTGAAGTAGCCACTTCTGAGCAACCTGAATCCGACAATACGAGAAGTTTGAGCACATCACTCCTCGTCCTTCGATATTTCATGATCAACAATGAAAAGCAGCAAACCAAATTCTTTAGAAATTTCTCTAAGACGAGGCGTATGCTGAACAGTCTGATCCAAAGCTTTTAACAACTGTTTTCAAAGAACATTTTTCAAGCCACACTGGTAAGAATATGTGACGGATATCACTTGGTAGAGGAGAGTAAAATGTAACTATTTAGAGCATAATGTAACTACTAATTTTGTTAAGACCAATCCCTCAACCGATGCCCTTGTAGGATAATTAAAAACACCCGACATGAACAGTACAACAATAGGAGACTCTCTTCAGTATGACAAGAATTAAGCTATACGATCAGGAGTAAAGCATGTTAGTAGATCCTGAGATATTCGTCAGCAGAAATGCTTCTCGCAGATTTACTTCAGAACTCATCAGCCAATAAGAAATCAACCGTGTGGCAAGTAGACGAAGAAGCACGATCAGCACACATCGGATAACTTTCATACCATTTTAAAACCTCGGTCGCCGACCGATCTTTCGAGAGCAGGGCTCACGAGCACGAAGTGCTTTCTATGCGTATACGGAACCGTTTCCAAATTCGTCACATATATGACGCTTCCAATAACAAAAACCCCTCCAACCCATGCCATTGTGCGTTGAGTATCCAGCTTCTCCGTCCAGGCAACTGGACCTCTCCTCTTGAAGTGCTGCACCCCGTCTTTGTCTACGTAGTATGATCTGCATCCTCGAACATCAACTTTCCGTTTCAAGGAATTGAAACCAACATTTATAAATGGTTTCCTGCTTATGGTGTTAGAAGCTGAGAATAAGGAAGTAGACAGCAGCCGTGAAGAAGTCCGTCTCCCTCCTTGACATCTCAATTCACTACTCAGGCTCTGTAGTCCGATGTTATTAACTAAAATCTTACTATACTTTTCCGAAAAAGCCCTGGACAAATAGTTGCCATATCCGCTGGTAGAGCTGAGCTTTGGACCTAGAGAAGAATCAACTGCACCACTCCGCAAACCGAGCGCTCCCGCTACATTATAAAGCTTGATACTCGATTTGTTAACAGCCCCTGCACTCGTTCTTGCCGACAGTCCAACTTCCAGAATCCTGGATTCCGAGAGTAATCCTTTAATGCTAAGCCCAATACTGCGACAGAAGTGCTTGACCTCAGCAGAATTTCGAGCCATTTTCCGCTCGCTTCTCGCCTCTCGCCTCCCCTAGGTCAGAAATCTGCTCAAGCATCGCCATCACAAGCACCAAACGAATCAGCAATTTCAACAAGGACTGCCTCCAACATCTCCAAGCGGCTCAATACTCGAAACACAAGTCCACGCCATCGGACTCAAACTTGAGAGACATAAACAAAGACCTTCAACGAACAACACATCCTTCGTCCTTCTGAGATAACAAATTTGCAGCACATCCCCGAAAACGGCGCATTGCGTGGCACACAGACTGGCAGTCTAAAACCAAGCGAAGCTTCAAACTTACGAGAAAGACGAATCATCAGACCGGCACTCGATGGATCGGTGACACCGGAACTCTCTCGAACGATGCAACCTCAACTTTCCCGGACCATCGGCCGCTAAGAATACAACCTTGACCCAAGACCAGCTCTCCAATGCTACGAGAAAGAGGGATCAACCAACTGGCGCTGGCAATCGATCGACGGGCGCCAATTGGACTGTAAGAAGGTTGAAGGGGAGAAGGCTGGACGAGCTAGCTCCTGCTTACTGCTTACTGCGAGCTTCCAGCTCCTGATTCCATCGCCGGAAAGGCGGGGCCTGGTCCCCACTTCACTTTAGTTTCACCGTATTCCCGGGATCCGGTTCCTGCAAATGGTGCTTCTAGAACGGAAACTGCTGATAGTGCTCGTCCGCTAGCTGAGTAGCGGGTGTTTTCACGGAGATCGTTATTTTGTTTTATTTTATTTTCGTGTTGTTTATACTCTTGTATTTTTGTTGGGCTAGCATCCTTTGTTGATCCATAATCTCTTGTAATTAGTGTGCATTTTCATAGGCAGCCCTGATTTTTTAGGCCACCAAGAGACAAGTTGCGCATTTTCTTCACTCTCCTATTACGATTTCATGATTCGCAAGTTCCTGTGTGTTCTATTACTACCTTCCTGTGTGTACTATCTATTAGAAATTACGAATTTTGTAATAGTTGTATTCAAATTGCATAGCTTTCAATGCAATTGCTCAGCTTGTTTCGCCAAATCCATGATGCGATAAATATAGTTGCACTCGAGGTGGTAAGATTATCATACATTATCAAAATCAGGTCAAGAATCAATATTTTTCAAATATAATTTTACTAAAAAAATATAGAAAATACACATATTTCTATATGCTAAGATTGAACGCTCATCATTGATGAGTGTTCAAGCATCGATGCTTGATGAGTCATCAATCATCGAAGTTTTCAAAAATCTATGATATGAACAAATTAGTGAGATAATCTATGTATCTTATTGGAACCATTAATTCTGCAAAAATGTCTTGTTTAATTTTCTGGCATATCCAGTGTCCGATTGAAGTTGACAATGAAGAAAATTCCATTGTTAAAATTGGCATTTTTCATAGAACATTTTAATTATAAATTTTCCATATAAAATAATAAATACAACACAAAAAAATTATTTATAAATTGTATACGATGTGTTATGATTGCTATGTTTATGAATAAAATATTCTGCAAATGAAAATAAATATAGAATTAAATTATTATTGTTTTTTAATATAAGAGCTAAAAAATACATGCATGTCATTGAAAAAAAAACGTTTAGTTTATATATAACCATATGTGCAATGCATCAATTCAACAATTTACGCAGAATGCAAGCTCCACATCATATCTTCTTTCGACAACAAAGTTGTTCAACAACAAGCTTCATTGTTTCAAATTTCTTACTAAATTGAGTGATAATTTGAAAGCACATGAGTGTAATGTAAAACACAATCACATGTATATCTCAAAATATATATGTTACAAAATATTTTGCAAGTACTAAAATATATGAAAAATAATAATTAATTTAACTTTACAAAAATCATATCTATTTCTTAAATGTATAACCAAGAAACATTAAAACCAAGTACGAGCATACGAGTCTCTTGTGTGCTCGTAAATACAAAATGCACATCAAGTAGAATCCTTAGGGTATATATATACCCAACTTCAGCGACACACCTAGCTATATATATCTATAAACTAAGGTTACTTCTTAACCTAAGTTAATCTCAACAATCTATACTTTAACTGGTATTAAGCAAACAGTTTCCTCTATAACCTATAGTATTATTCAATGGAAAATTTTAGATAGAATCTTAACACAAAGCTACTCTTTACACAAAAGTCAACTAGAATTAAACCGTAGCCATAATAAGATAGAATAATAACATACAGATAACTAGGAAACCTGCAAACATAGAAGTATCAAAGATCTCGTAATCTATATAATTACTCTGCGGGAAATTCTAGAAAGAAACGGAATACAAGCTTACTCTTTATACAAGACTTAACTAGAACTAAACAGTAGTCATCATATAATAAAGAAAGTATATAAGAAGATAATTGAAGTTACTATGCTAGAAAATTTTACATCTTCTCTCCATACATAACCTACATGGTAACATACTTTCGTATGAAGCTCTCCAAAAGAATAATTTTGGTCAAAGCATCAGCTGGATTGAGTTTACTTACGATCTTGACTAGTTCAATCGTTTTATCAGATACTACTTGAATGATAAAGTGGTACTCCCTTCGTCCTAAAATTATTGTCCCATTTTTGTTAAAACATCAGGATTAACCTCATATAATCTTTTTTTCATTGTTTTGCGATGCTAAAATGTAAATTTTTGAAGTGTTTTTTGATTCCCAAAGCTTTGAACTTCGGCACCCTCTGCAAGCGAAAGTTTTGGCGCCAAAACCACTTTCGTAATTGCGTGTCATTTTCCAAAGTACCGATGGATAAACAATGATTGTTCATGCGTCTGCCGATCAAGGTGTCAGTAGTGGAGGTGTGAGCTCTTATCTTACACCCTTAGCGTTGTAGTCCGGGTGGGGATCCAAGCCTACACATATAGCTACCCTAGCCACCACAACTTTTCATTCTCTTACCCAACCCTAGAAAGCACCACTACTGAGATTTCAACTGTTGAGAGTCCTTTTTGAATCTACACAAAACTCACTATTGAGGATGCAGCTCCTCTCCTACACTTCAACTACACTCACACCAACTATCAAGAGTGCCTACACTCTGACTCCACACACATCAACTATTCAGAGTACATACACTCTAAATCCATCAAAAAAACCAACTTTTGAGAGCAACACTTAGTTCCTACCCTCTGAATCCACAACACCCAACACTGAAGCTACAGCTCCGTTCCTACCCTCTCCAAGTAGAATACCCACTACTTCCACTACAAGAGTACCAACGCCAAGAAAAAGAAGAGAGTGCTTCATCATAGATGCACTTCCCTATAAACCGTCAGCATCCGCCCCCTTCAGCCTGCAAGTTCGACCTCAACTTGATCGCCTAAAATCCGCAAGGTCAATCCAGCCAAATCCAGGTCCACCGACACCTGACACGCTAACCTTATCCACAACTTTATCCAATTTATCCACTAGCACATACTAAACTGACGACTCACTGATAAGCACTGCAATACGCACCTACAACACCATCAAGTCTAATCTCCATCCGCTGATGAACCGTGAACTTTGCTTGGTTCAAGAATCCACTAACAAAAGTACTTCCCGGCTTCAGTCAAAACTGCATTATGCTTATTTGCTACGGCTACTTTCACCACTTTGGCCTTCAAAGTATTCACGCGGCGGGGAGTTGGCTGGGTGTCAACGTGTGGGTATCCAAGCCGGCCCTCTCTGTTTGAACCCCAAGTATATGCTTCTCCACCGTCTGTTGCCACAATAGTATGATGTTCCGCTACAGCTATTTACCTAACAGGTCGACAGCCAAAGCGGTTTGTAATCTGGCGAGGAGTGATGACTGCAACCTGCCCATTGTGAATGTGAAAATCTGGATGTCCCAAACAACTGCCCCGTTCAAAGCTCCATGAATATACTTCACCCGTAGCTATTATTGCGACGCTTTGGAATTTTGCTGTGACAACTGAAATAATATCACATCCTTGCAGAGCGTCTACACGGGCTAGCACTCTTAGTATAAGGGTGGTTCCAATTTCCAGCTGATAATTGGAGCCGTTGCTCCTACTAAACACTTCCTTTGCACCTGTAAATGTTGAATTAAGCAATGACTGCTTCAAAGGACCCGAGGTAAGGTCGACAAGAGTCCGGCCCATAGAGTCCTCAAGAACCAAAGATGCGCCAGCCTCAATGAGCAATCCAGCCACAGCAAGGTGGCCAAAATGAAGAGCCCTATGAAGACTGCTCCATCTTGATTCTCCATCGCGTGCGTTAAGATTGACTCCGGCAGCTAACAGTCTCCTCACAACAGGGAGATGATTCCTCTATGTAGCAATGTGAAGTGGAGTGGAGCCGAAAGCATTTTTCTCGTTGACGTTTCCATTTTGTTTTTTCAAATGGAGTAGAGCTATCTCGACGTCATGTACATTGCCCGTGCGCACTACAGCCCAAAGATCTCTCAAAGTACCGCTTGACGAGCTTTTGCAGTTCAATACAAGTTTCGACAACATGCCAGCTAAGGGTACAGTGAATGTATCCATATTTGCAAAAAAGAAGTAACCACGTTGTCAAAGAGAGGAGATATCTTCAAACTTTCGATTGCAACTCCGACCTGCGTATAAGTTGCAACTTTTTGTAATTGCATAAAGAGTTTAGAACAAAGGCTATGCTTGCCGGCTTGCTTGCTTGCCCGTGTACAGTGTTCACGTCAGCTCCAGGTAGAGTCAATTAACTCCATCATGTATTGCCCAATGCATTCAACGACCATCGTCATCCATGTCTTCACCAAAATAGAATGTTAGCACCAAAAGCCATTCACATACTCCCATAGTTCTCCGAGGGGAGACGAAGTTTCATAGGAAGAAATTTCTCTTCCTTGTAAAAAATGTGAGCACTTGCATCTAGTCGAATGGTCTAGCTTATTATTCTCCACCACAACCATGTCAACGTAAGTCAGATCCAGCTTCTTTCCGTCTTCAACATGCCTTCGGTGCAGATCTACTGTATGGCAGTTCAAATCCTCAAGTCAGTTGAAGATCTCCACTCCCTCTATCATACTCTCCACCCCCTCTTGTCCTTTTTCTCTCCCTCGTTCCCTAGCGCCTTTCTGCGTGACTCTGTCTATGCAAAGCGTGTGCTACTTTGAATCTCATTTCCGACTTGTCTGTTGTGCAGTAACGAGGTAAAACCATCCCTCCACGCATCTCTCAAGTCAGAAGTATACCTCTCAACTGTCAACTCGCACACAACATGTATGGGTTCTCACTTTTATATTTCTCTCAACCTTGTCAAAGAATCTCTCGCATACGTTTGACATATCTAGTGACCATATGCCTTGTGACAGGCGATTGGAACAGTGAAGACTAAAAACTAAACACGGAGATATGACTGGATTGACATGATTGTAAGGAGAAAAAGTAGTACTTTTGTGATTGAAACTCAAAAGTAGACAACACTAGGAACTCTCTTTCTAGATACCTAGGAGTGATGGAGTTGCGATAGAGAATAGCACAGCTTTGTGGTGAATCTCTCATACAATCTGAAGTTGACACTTCTCACGACGGAACATTGGATGTCACAAAGTCAATTCAAGTTTGAGAACGATGAGCTTGCATTTGAAAGAGGCACAAGTTGTTGCCCCTCACTCG